CAAGAAGAATCGTCAGAACACCCTCGCCCTGTACCTTCAGCGAACAGTATTGAACTGTTCTTGCCTTGAGGCAAAGCAAGAGATGCTCCATACGACTCATGACAGTTGCTCAAAAGCCAGGTCTTCATTTTTCCTAATCTAATTAAGCATAGAAACGTGCTGTAGCAAGTAATCTAGCGCTAGTGCCTCTAAGCAGCGCAGTTAGAAGCGTCAGAACACGCTGATGTCCTGTACCTTCGACGAACAGGTTCGCCTCGGTTTTGTCGGCGTTGGTGGCGCAGCTGTACTTGGTCTGGTCGGCCGTTTTGATGTCGCGGATGAGGAGCTTGCGGCGCGCGCCCTCGGCCACGAAGGAGTACTTCTCGCCCTCGGAAAGCGCCTCGGACTCACGGTACCAGGTGACCTCGGCCTCGGGGTCCGAGATGGCGCACATGAAGCTCGCTTCCTCATCGCCTTCGATCGCGTACTGGTCCTCAAGGCCGAGGATGAAGGTGACTGGGACTAGAATACAAGGGTAAGGGTACCATTTAAGTCTCACGAACATGCAAATGAGGGCGCTTCAGAGCCAGACCGAGGATGTAGGTGACAGGGACTAGAATATAAGTGCTTAACGTAAGTCTACAAAGAGGAGGGGGGGGGGCACTATCATCTATGATAAGCAATACATAGAAAATGTAGTAGCTGTGGAAGAATAGGGGTTCTTCTCTGCCCTCCAGATCCAGAGAGAGAATGAAGTGACAGGGACTAGAATTAGTGCTTAACGTAAGGTGGTTGTCAAGTCTACAAGGGGGAGGGGGCATTAGCATCTATAATGTAGCTGTGGAAGGATAGGTTTTCTCCTCATAAGTGTGCTTCAGAGCCAGCCAGAGAGAGGATGAAGGTGACTCTAGATTACAAGTGCTTAGCGTAAGGAGGGTGTATGAAGGGGAGGGGGACTTATTTCTGAAACTATAATACACAGTAGCTGTGGAAGAATAAGGGTTCTTCTCATTGGGCGCTTGAGAAGTTTTATCACAATTTGCTTTTGATACCATTTTTTGTTTGTGTAGTGTTGTGTAGTGTTGTTACCTGGAGTTTGTTCCATGTCCCGTGGCGCATCGTGGCGCCTCCCGTTCTGAGACACAAAACGCCACGATGCGTTATGACACAAGGAACAAACTTCCGTTTCTCCATTACATTTGTATTTACTAACTGGACAGCTGTTAAGAACTGAGTGTTATGTAAGGAATTTCTGATTACCGTAAGTAACTGTATGCTGCGTGGCGCAGATTACACTAATAAGTATTGCGGGCGTTAAAGCAAGTAGGGTAAATTTGTATGTAGTGAAGTCGCAGTAGCACCATTGGTTGTTTACAAATCGGCACGAGACACATCATGACTTACCTTTTTCGTGCCGTTTGAAAACCATCAATCGCGCAGAAAGCAAAAAGCCAAGCACAGAAAATGGTATCCCACTTCCACCCCGGGTGGCCAGTGGAGAATACCACAATTATGTCACACACACAGACAGACAGAAAGAAAAGCGACAAACAGAAATTAGCAGAAGTTGGTATGACTAGGTGTGAGTGTGCGTAGTTAAGCGTTCTTCCTACCTGGTTCCTTGTCTAGCTGGTCACCTGTTGGAGCAATGAGAGTTAAGCACGAGTTAGGAAGCGTCAAACAGCCATGTTAAAGCAGTAAGTTAAAACTAGGCCATATAGATATTTACAAAATGTAAGTCCCTGTCACATATATTGTACAATGCACGTACAATGATTTTTTTCCGGGACAGTATGTCATTGGTTCCAGATGAAATGGGTGCAATAGTTCTATGTTTAAAAACTATTGCACCTTTTTCTTCTCAAATCTACAAAATACTGAGATATGGTAGCGGAAAACTATCCACCATATGTGCATCGTAAGATACATGTGGCTGGGGCATTAATGGCAAAGATTATAATTACAGTACTAGTTATGACATAAATAAGCCATGATAGCCTTTTGTTATGCTTTACCGGTATTAGATAAGCCTTTTTTGCTAGTAAAGCAGTAAGGCAGTACAAACAGTAGCGGAAATATGTAAGTAAAGACGTATGTTTATAGCAGTACAAAACAGCGTAAAGTAGCATAAACATGTAAGTAAAGTATGCTTAAAGCAGTACAAAACAGCGTAAAGTAGTGGACACGTGTAAGTAAAGTGCTACTTAGTAACGGTGTATATTGGGTCTGAGATCATCACTATTGTACTGGTGACATGTTTGAAATCACGTTTTGAGCGCCCATTTGAGAAGTACCCCTACCTTGGATGGCATAGTCTTGGCTGAGATCCTCTTGGGTAACCTCTGTAATAAGAGGAGAGAACACCTAGGTTATCACCGGGCTAGCTCGCAAAACGGCAGCCCCAAACGTCCGTGCAATACCTTACCTGTTCACCAGAAGTCGCAGGGAGGAGGGAAAACATAATAAAAACAGTTGCACGGTTTCCAATGAGGTATATTGATGGTAAGAATCTGTATACAATTTTGATGTCTCTCCGGATTTTGACATATCCATCTGAAATATGTAGGTGGGGGAAAACAAATCAATTTGGAACTACAAAATAGAGAAGTCTGCACAGTCAACTTGAGAGAACAAACTACGCGCAATTGAGACGTTTCACCCCATTGACACTACATATCTGAGATGGATACACCAAGATCATTGAGAAACTACGTTCTACAAATTGGTCAAAAATTTCAAAAGGATAGAATCAGGCTACCCCATGGAAACAGTAGCAAATGACAGACATGACAATGTAATGTAGACGTTCGGTGGTGGCCTTTGTTATTGTTACACAGTTAATAGGAGCGTACAAGTAAAGGTACTAGTAGTGGGAAAGCTGCAACAGCATAGAAAGTAGTGGGACAACAACAGCATAGAAAGTAGTACTAAGGACAGCAACAGCATAGAAAGTAGTACTAACAACAGTTACATAGAAAGTAGCACTAAGGACAGCTACAGCATTGAAAGTATTAGGACAATACCATAGTTAGAAAGGAAAGCTGTCTTTAGAATATAAGTAGTGCTTAGCAAGAAATGTCAATGTTAAAGCTTAAAATCTCCATTTTGTAACGTTAGAGGTAATCAACAGTGAGAATACCTGGCTTGGCTAGTATGGACATTGCCATCAAGTCCATTGGATTCATATCTGCCGGGAAAGCTGGAAGTGTAACAGCACAAGTAGCGAGGACATGTTAGACAGGAGACAGCACAGCACATTACAGGACTCAGAAGCAGTAAGAGAACACCACACAAAGCAGCACAGCAGGAATATATAAGGATGCAGTGAGAGGTTTAAAACAGCGTTGAAAGTGGCAGAGAACAGTGCTACAGCCTGGATGCCAGACAGTTTTCAGGGTCTACACAGGCCAGCTTCTCAGCTCCAGGGCTAATACAACCCTGAGTTAGACCCTGAGAAACCCTTGCACTCTGGCTAACTCTGGGTACGAACATAATTTATGTTTCTTCCCCAGAAGTATATAGTAGCTGGTGTTCCGCCGAAGGATGGTTATACCGGCTATACAGATACAGATGCAGATATAGCCAAATGGTATCACCTAGTGTGTTATGGGTCTGGCATCCAGGCTAGTAATGTTAAAAGCGGCCAGGAAGGCGCGGGTTACCTCCGGCGGCCTGTAGAAGGCCGAGTTGTTCCTGGGACAGTGCAGCTGGGTTAGAGCCACGGGCTACACGAGGAGGCAACAGATTAGACCGGATTACAACAGATTAAGACAGGTTCAGGACTGGTAAAATGATTGGCAAGAAACGGAGAGCAGAGATACACGCAGCATCAGTTCTTGCCATGGTCAGTTTTCCTTGCCATTATTGCATTAGATCAGAAAGTCTGTGTTAGACCTAGTCTGTATCTCACTGCAAGTACCTGACCAGTGAGGGGACTGCTAGAAGCGTGATTTAGTCAGGCTATGTTAGGCCGTTATGCTTGGACTGTAAGAAGAACTGACGATGGCTAGAAACCGATGGCAAAGATATTTGGAAACAGCAACAAATTTACAAGAGAGAAGAAACAGCAGAGTGCAGAGTTAGTGAGCTGTCGCTACCTGACTTCACACCATTGGCGAGAGCTTCAAGATCGGCCTGGCTTAAGCCAGCAGGAAGAGCTGTAAGTGGGAAGTGAGTACGTCAACTGACAGAACAGGGAATAGACATGATCAAACAGAAAAAAAGGAAACCCGGCAAGTAAAAATGGAGACCGAAAAAATCTTGTATCAAACCTCCTGCATCTCGGAGAGCAGTGAGTTCTTCAATTGTCATAGCACCGCGTCCTAGTGGGAGGGCAACATACATTTCAGTGTTTGTTCTTCAAACTAGATGCTCTCTTTGTAATTTTAGGAGTAAATCCGAAATTTTGGGTCTACAGCGTAGGAGAGAGTTTATACCTGCAGCCATAAACTCAGCAGCCAGCTGTGTTGGTGAGAGTCCGGCAAGGTTTGGATCTGGACAGACGGTTGAATTTCAAGTCAGTGGAAACGTCTTTTTTATTTCAAAAGACAAAATAGTATGCAAAGTTTCCTGATATCCAGATTGCATGGACAAAGCACGAAGTTGCTTCAGGGTTTGTTAGCTTGAATTGATTACCTTGTGACGTTAAGAGTCCCGCAATCCTCTGTTCAGAAGTTGAGCCTACAGTTTCAGAATACAAGCCGATGGTCAGGGCTCACTCATGGCAAAATAATCCCTCCAACGAAAGGGCAAAAAATCTCTTACCAAATTCCCAAAAAATTTTCGCGGAATAATTTTGAGCCTCAATAGACTAAAATCCATAGCTACCTTTGAGAGCTTCTACAGCCTTCCGCATGTCAGGTGTAAGGCGTTTTGCAGCTGAAGATGAGCGAAGTGAGCGGATTTGTTGGTTATTAGTGGGACATATTACAGTACAAAAGAGTACAGATACATTCATGACTACTTACAGAACAATTAACACAGCCACAAAATCACATTAAAGATTAGAAAAGCAGCAGAAGGAAGATTACAGTTAGGCATTTGCTACTACCTTGCTCTGCTGTTAAGGCTCCTGCAGCGTCGGTGAAAGGAGTGTGAAGAAGACAGAAGATACAGAGTTAGCAGTAACTACTGGAAGCAGTGTGTTTGCAACACATTAAGCAAGAAGTGGACAGGATTTACAAGATACAGAGTTAGCAGTAACTACTGGAAGCAGTGTGTTTGCAACAGCGCGCAGGAAGTGTTTTGTGGACAGGATTTACAAGTACAAAGGACAGTGGTATTACAGGTTTTAGTGTAACAGTGTGTGATGGAGAATAAGCCACCGTTCGTCTGTATCTATCTATACATAATCACAGGGACATGTTTCTGCACACCCGGCTCCTCTAGCCACCCTACCTTTGACGATGAGGTTGGCAGTTGTCTCCCAGTCTCCAGACTTGGCCATGTAGCTGGTCTCGTCCTCGGGAAGGCAGCCCTTGATCTTCAGGATGCGCCGGCGACCCTCCACACTGATGTCGTATTTCTCACTCTGCATGACCTGCGGGTGGGCGCTAGTCAGATTAGGTCGTCTGAGATCGTCTTAGATCGTTAGAGAAGTCTTAGAGCATCAGAGAACTCTTAGATCATTTTAGGTCATCTTAGATTGTCTGAGACCATCTGAAATCGTCTTAAACCGTCTGAGATCGTCTGACATTGTCTTAAACCGTCTGAGATTGTCTTATATAAACCGTCTACCATCGTCTTAAACCATTTAAGATTGTCTGAAACCGTCTGAAAAAGTCTGAAATACTCTTAAACCATCTTGAGATTGTCTCAAACCGTCTGAAAAAGTCTGAAACCATCTGAAAAAGTCTGAAACCGTCTGAAAAAGTCTGAAACCGTCTTAAAAAGTCTGAAACCATCTGAAAAAGTCTAAAAAAAGTCTGAAACCCTCTGGGATCGTCTGAAAATGCAGGACAGTTACCTCCTCGCCATTCTTGAGCCACATGACGTAGGCCTCCTCCTTGGCGACTTCACACTCAAAGGTGGCCTGCTCCAGTTGCCAGACCTCCTGGTCCCGGAGAGGGCCGGAGAACTCAGCTGTGGGAACTAAACACAACACAGGACAACATCAGTGGGGGAAGGGCTCAACAAGAACACTACACGGGACCAAACGTAAGATCCTACACAGTAGGGCAGGGACAGGAAAACATGGGATCCTGTACTGGGGGAACTGCAAAACAAGGGGTGGTCTTGACTGAAAGGAAAGGGTATAATTGAGGGGTTTAATCTAGTCTGGTTGGTGTTATTGTTGGGTCAATACGTATTGATTTGACATGACAGACATACAAGAGACTTTGCAAGAAAATGTCCAGTTTTAATAGCCAGTTGTGATTCCATGTTATACATAGAACACATGGACACAGTGAAGACATACACAAGATTGAGGTTACAATCGTTTGGTATTGAAGCATGCTGTAATGTCGTCATAAAGCACAGTTCGTTGTTCTGTGATTGGCTTGTTTTCAGTCTTTGCCTCATTAAAGTGAAACAAAGTGTTAGTCCTCGTACCAATGGCATTGTAAAGCCGGAAACCGTAAATTATTGACATGAGGACATTGTGTGATTATACAAGAGAAGAGACAGAAATGGGGTGAGTATGATTACAGTTATTACGTCACCTTTGCTCCAGTCGATAGGACGCTGTTGCCAGGCTGGAACTGGTGTTAGCCATGATGGTAGATGGAAGAGAGAAGAGAAGGGTGAAAGGCAAGCGTTAGAAACAATGATCAGAACGTCTTATGTTTAACATGTTCCTACAGAGTCGTATTATTGTTGTTGTTTAATACGTTGATTATAATTGTTTGATTTGTTATTAGCTTCGTTTGTGAATTGTATTGAATGGTTATGAGATGAGTTGTTTTTTCTGACGCTCATTATCATAAGTTAGCATAAGCAATATTCCAAAAAGACGAACCGAATAAACGATTGAAAGCGATCCGATCGTCTTTTCCAATATGTGTTGTTAAAGCTGTGAAGTGTGCTAATCTCCAAGCAGATGCTACGGTGGCAAGCCAAGTGGTGTGCTGTGGGCAGCTAATGGGTGAGTAACTGCTTAGCCAATGGATACTACCTTGCCACCGTAGGATCTGCTTGGAGATTAAGAAGCGTGGGGTTTAGGCTGTTAATACCTTCGAACGGTTCACGGTCCTTCTCGCCGTCAGCGGCTGGAGGAAATGAATAAGCATGATACAGAGTCATGTGTATTAAAGCACATTAGGGGTTGGTGGAAAAACCGGTCCAGTCTGGACGGCAAAAAAACGGTCCAGTCTGTTTGGGGTGCAGACTTGACCGGATTTTCCACCAACCCAGCATGTTACAGAGTCAGGTGGAAGCACATTCAGTGAAGTCCTTGTCACACGTAGCCAACCATGGCCTCCCAACCCTCTCCAGACCATGGTTCAGAGACTTAGTCGTGAGTCGGGCCATATGTGGTTGTGAGTTGGTGGACTTCTAGACTTTAAAAGTCGTCTGCCTGAATTGTCTTAGAGCAAAGTCAATGGTAAGGTTCTGAATGTGTGACAGGGACTTTACAGAGTCGTGAGGAAGCATTAAATAGCATGGAGACTGAACATCGACGTTCTTCCAGCACAGGGGAATACAAGATCTCACTCACTTTGGTAGGTCTGGATTCCCATGTGCTGATAGAACATCATATTGTGAAACACAAAGAGACAAAGAATTACTATGCAAGAAAAGCAGTGAGAAGAAAGCTGTCCATGTCGTGTGGGTAATTAATGGTGGGTTGGGATGGGTTAATTATTGGGGTTATACCTTTTTCTGGAGGTGCTCCGTCCACTTTGGGCACTGGGCAGGTAAAAAGGCAGTGTGGTGAGTTAGGACGATGGTTTGTGAGAGAAAAGGCTGATTTGGCAAAAATGAGATTTAAAGTATGAAGCAAGTGATACTTATTGGCAATGTGAATTATGTGGTTTCAACTACGTGTATGTGTTACATCGTTTAATATGTAAATGGTTGGTGAAAGTTAAGACTACCTAGTGAGTGTGAGTTTGGTGTTATACCTGGAATAGGTTTGAGTTTAACTTCCTCTGGGCCGCCATCCTCCTTTGGAATTAATCCTGCGTTAAGGTGGACAAAATCATTTAGTGGCTACGTTGTGATGATATCTAATGTAGGTTGTTACAGTGTGAATTAGGCTACATGATGTACATGATTCAGTCTGGCTAGTCAATTGTCGAAGGCATTACTATGATTTATGGTTATTTGTCTCAAAATGGCAAGCTGGACAAAGTATTAAACGTTGTTGGGACACACAGTGGTGAAAATGCAAACATAAAATGTTTTAAGTACTATGAAATAAATGATGTGAACATTTAGATGTTATGTATGGTGAGTACAGACAGGGTTAAGTGCATTTTCTGTGTTAGTACCTTTACGGCTGCTAACTGGTACTGCCTTCTGTGTTCCCGCTGGTGGTTCTTTCTTGGGAACTGTCAGACGTGAAAAGTTGGAGTTACGATCCATGATTGTTATATCTGGTACAATATTAGCATGTTACAGACTGGTGAAGTATATCATGTAGTATGAATACGTAGTGAAAAGGTTACTACATATTATTATTATCATCGCATTACGGACTAGTATTTTGTGTAAGGACGAATAAAGAAATATGAAATGGATCTAAGGACGAGTGGTGATGTAAGTTGGTAACACAGAACGTTAACATGAAGGAAATGTAGATTATAGTTATGATGTTGAGTATGGTGTTGAAGTGTTAGTACCTTTCTCCATGGCTGTGGGTCTAGCGACCGCCTCAGTCGGTGATACGGCCTTCTCTGGAACTCCTGTTGGTTCTGTTAGGAAGTATTAAGATGGTAGGTTGACATGTAAGTTATATAATGGTTGGTATTGTTATAGAGAAGTGGCTGCATCTCAGTTTGCTGTGTAAATGATGTGAAAAAGCTGTGGTAGCGAGGCGAAAAGCACAGCAAAGCTTTGAGCTGCACCTTCAACTTTCTAAGTGCTGCGAAAACCTACATGTGTAGAGCCAAGATGTCAGCCACTTCCAGTTAGGTTTGGTTTGGGTTTGGGTGTGTGACAACAAGGAAGTTGGCTAATGTCAGCATGTTCAAGGCAGTTGTACAGTCAGAAACTAAGTGGGAGGAGGTCAGGGATCCATAAGATAGGTGGGGAACACAGAGAGATTTGGAGAGCAAGTCATCAGTCTTTTTGGGAAAACCAGGGTGTTTTGGGAAGGTACCTGGATAGGGGAGTCAGTGTCTGGTTCGGGACACTAAAGATTGGTGGGAACAGAGAGAGATTTGGAGAGAGTTGTCAGTCTTTTGGGGAGACCAGGGTGACTTCGGGAAAGGTACCCGGAGAGAGATTTGGAGAGCAAGTCATCAGTCTTTTAGGGAAAAACTAGAGGGTGTTTTTGGGAAGGTACCAGGATAGGGGTAGGTTCTTCTGTCCAGTGAATTTAGAACTTTTTTTTTACCAGCTTGCCCCTGTTGGCGACGTCTTTCTCTGGCGTCATCCAAGCCACCGAGGAAATCGCCTTCCTCCCCCTTCAACGTTTCTGCCCGTTTCTTCCGTGCATCTTCTAAACTCGAAAGGAAGGAATCTTCCCCGGGTGAAGCAAGCCGCCTGACTCTACCATCATCTTGCCATGAAGCTGATGTCAAAACGGGCGGGTAGCGACACAGATATATATGCACATTAGTCTAGCATAAGCTTAGCTAACATGTCAGAAAGCAAAAGCATGAAAGCATATACTGTACACAATAATGTTAACATCAGAATTGCAACTGGTGGTCACAAAATCTTAGAACAGATAGACAGACAGCCGTCAGTGCCAGCTGTAAAACCACTTGGCTGCATAAGGCTGTTGGCACGTCGGCAAAGCATTAGCAAAATGCTCTGTCTTGTTGTGTATTGGATGTGATCATATTATCGTTACAACAGTTACGTATTAGCACACATTATAACAACTTACCATCAGCCCCTTTTGGGGTGCAAGACAATCACAGAGTAATTAACACACACAGTAACAATGTATAGCTCTAGTACTATAAGGCGCAATGAGTGGTTACAGTTAGTACCTTTTTCTCTACCATCGGTCACTTTCATACAAATATATTAATAATTATTGTAATGGTTACTCAAGAAATAAGGAGTATATACAAAGTCTCACACTTCCATTAAGTATAAACATGTAGTGTTGCACATGTAGGTATGATAGACAGATGTACGTGAATGTGAATTCTGATACCAACGTTTTCAACAACAAGGAACAGACATAATACACAACACAGCACCATATTGATAAAACATCCTTCTTTCATCTACACGAGCAAGACCCCATATACTGTCATTTGTTAGTGGTGTAGATTTCTGAGTGTTTGTTTCTTC